ATCCAGAAATAATTATTCCAGGAAGGCCCTTTTCATGGTTCCAGTGCTTTGAACATCTCCTGCTTGCTTTACTTTTCCTTTGCCATTAACACCACCTTCTTACTAACGGGCATTCAAATCCCTTCACTTTTTTTTAAAAAAAAAGTTGAGCAAGTGAAATAGCGCTGCATTGACAAGGCATGGAATTCATATTGTTTTGGTTTAGCGCTATAATGCTAAACGGGGAGAAGATATATTTTTAAATTTACAAATTGCATTTCAGTGGATAGCCTTTGCCAGCAAGTGCAGTAAGCAGGCAAAAAGGGGGTCAGATTCACTCCCACACCATGCTCTACTCTGTGCATCCTCCATGATGAAATCTGGACATGCTTATCAGCTGCCCTAAACAGGACCGATATTTGTGATTGCACAGGAGAAAAGCATGGCAAACGAATGCATGTAAAAATAAATAAACAAAAATCCCTGCCAGACGAACAAAATATACTCCATACTCATGCTAAAAGATCAGGTCTACTCATGATGTATGCTAACATCTCACAGTGGACGGAATAAAGATCAAGAGGAACAGTGAGAAACACAGCACAGATAACAGGAAAAATACCCCTCTAGTGGCTTGAAAGGGTAGACCTTAGACGTCAGCAGAAACAGGGTAAAAGAGGGCAGGGATTTACAGAAAATTCTACACATCGTTTTATATGTACCAATGCAAAATTAGAAATTAATTACAGTACAACTGGGTGAGAGAAACTGCCACCCAAAAATTTTACCCACATGCGTCTTGTTGTATCTGCAGCCCAAGAGCTGCTAATTCTGGGCTTTGAGGTCCCTGATATTATGATTCTTTAGCTTTCAGTCAGAACTGAATTGGACCGTCCTTCAAACAGTGGACACCTTTGGAAAGAGAGGTGTCCTCTGTTGGCTCTCCAAGCAATGGACGGTCCTCTGTAGAAGAGGATAATGTGGCCACCCAAAGCAAGTCCTTTGGCTTGGAAGAGAGGAAATGCCAGTGTGGGAACAGGAGCTGAAATGGACAGAGTGAAGAGAGGTGGAAGGAAGAGAGAGAGGAAAGAAGAAATCCTTTTGGGAGTGGCCTGCCAGCAGACTTGTGGCTCCATTCATCCTCTCTGCTGGTATGCGGCCCCACAGATTACCGTATTTTCTGTGTATAAGACATCCCCATATATAAGACACCCCCCTTTTCTAATCCAAAATTAAGAAATATAAGTGGGGCTTAGCAAGTGTAGGGGGAAATGGATCAAAGTGCTGCAGGATCGCTTTGATCCCTGCTTTTCCCTCCACTTGTTTTTATTCTCTCCTCAGCTCACTTCCGTGTATAAGACGACCCTAAATTTTTAGTCTAAAGATTTTAGACAAAAGTATAGTCTTATACACGGAAAAATGCAGTACCTGCAAGGGAATGTAACCAACCTAAAGGTGGGACCGACCACCCCTGTTCAAGATGATCAAGCCTAATAAGTCAAAGAGGAGCCTGACCAGATGCTATTTTGAAAGCCTTCCAAATTGTCACTCAAGCCAGAAATAGACATTAGAAATAGCTGGTAACTGGAAGAGTGAAATCCTTAACTAACATGAGCCTCTGGGTGTCACATCACCAGGTTCTCTCACCTCCGGGATTGGTAAGATTTGCTTGCTTGGTTTAGAGATTCGTCTTCCCACTTAAGCACGTGAGTCCTTTGACATCTAATTTTTGCAGGCAGACACGACCCCAGTTTCTCTGTGCAATTTTAATGCGGCTTCTGGTCCGCTCACGACCTACCTCTCACGCCAATTTCTGGCCTCAAAACGAAACTTGATGTTGTTGGATCTGTAAGCCTACCTCCCAGAGTGATTGTGAAGACAACTGGACTGTGTTTCCTGCCTTGAGTGATTCAAAAAGAGGTGTGGGATTAAAAGCGTGATCAGTCATTTGCCCACCTGTATGTGCACAAGCCTACAGCCGCAGATTGATAAATCTACAGATTAAAAAAAAGCTTTAAAAGAGTTCATCATTCATATATAAACTAGAAACTAGAGAGTGGTCCCTCGGGAATATTCAAACAATGCACCAGGAAAGAGCCACTGCTGCTTTGCATATGAAAAGACTAGCAGTACAGTAGCTGGATTAAACCCCTGTAACAGCCACAAAGCACCTGCCATCATCAATGCATCTTATCTTTAAGATGCCAAAGATTCTTCTCTTGGGCTCAGTGCACAGACTTGTGCAGTGCTCCACTGGGATTTATCCTCATGTTATCATCGAGAGAATCTTTTTTCTTAAAAAAAAACAAATAACAAATAACCTACTCAGATGGAATAGTGGCATGATAATCTTTGCAGCCCCCATGATCGATTCAGTGGCATCTGCTGATAAAAGAAAGGATCAAACTACTTCTTTTAAGTGACACATAGAAAGTCAAGTGCAACATTATTGATCACTCGTTTGTCAACAGTAAATTCAAAGGCCGACTAGCTCCAATCAAGCCTGGCTATTCCAAAGTGGTCTACAGTAGCTCATGCCTGGCTGCTCATGTAGCTGCACCTTCAGCTCTCTTGGGGCAGGATGACCCCATAGAAGAGGGCATAGCTGGCTTAAATAAATAGGAACACCAAATGCCTGCCATGGGCAGACACTAAACTGATTCTCATAGTGCCTCCTTCTCTATATGAACCCCAAACAGAATCATCGGTGTCTAAAAGGGGGTAGGATGAGGTTTGAAGAAACCCTGAGGTCTGTAGAAGGACCAACAGGGAAAAACAGTTTTAAACTTTTCAAAAATGGCATTTAAAAACATACACACAGCGCCCTCAAATGCCTTAAAAGAAAAGCATTTGCCTGCTGGCGGAACAAGAAAGAAAGTTAGCTTGGCCTCCAGTGGGAGGGAGTTCCAAAGTCTGGGAGTGGCCACATGTTTCCCCCAAATTTGTGAGAGTAAGGGGGACGGAGAGGAAGCCCTCTCCTGATGCTTTTCAAATCCAGGCATGCTCATGTAGAGAAATGCAGGTTTTGTGATTGTTTACACTTGTATAGGGCTTTATGAATTCTGCCCAGAAATAGCTTAGTGGCCAGATGAGCTTTTTTAACAGGGAAGTTCCCAGATCATTGTAGCCAGCTGCCATTAACCATCTGGAAGCAGCATTTTGGACCTGCTGAAGTTTCCCAGCACTTTCCAAAGGCAGCCCCACACAAAGTGTGTAACAATCATTCAAGCAGGATCTAACTAAGGCAAGTGCCCTCGTTGCCAGGTCAGACCTCACCAGGAACAAGCACAGCCGGTGTACTAGTTTCAAGCGTGCAAATGCACTACAGGGCCAGTGCAAAAGATCTGGACATCCAGGCTGGGCCTTGTTATCCTCCAGAGGAACGGCCGCTCATTCCTCTCTAATTCTCCGGCTCTTTTTTACCTAAAATTTTGAATCACAGCCGCTTCCTAAGATTTCCCCACCCTTTGCGCTGAACCAGATACTCCATAGGAGTTACACATACAGGAGGACTGCTGGATCTGTGGGGGATTCAGTTCTAACCCCCACTCAAAAAATTCAGAACTATGGAACAGGATCCATATAAAGGAAGCCAGAGACTATGCAATGTGCAGCTTTCCATAGTCTCTGTCTCCCTCTAGTCGCCAGTGCAGGTATAAATACTCTGGAAACACACATAAATCCGTATTTCTGGGTTTTTACTGTATTTAGTATTTTCAGGCAGTGGATAATTGAAACAGTGGATACAGATCCTGCTGATCGGGCCATCCTACTGTATACAGTATTAGTATATGTATTTCAAAATCATGATTAAATAATAATAAAAATCTACAATCAGAAGGTCTCCCATGCAGATTAAGCTTGTTCCCCACTGTAATGCTGGGAGGCAACCTACTTTCCATCTCATTAGACTGGGTGCCTTACAGATCCATTCAACTACAATTCCCATCCTCCCCAACCAGCCAGATGCCAGGTGTGGGAAGGGTAACAAGCTCAGCACAGAGAGTCAGTAAATGCTCCAGAGAAAGAATGCAACGTCTTATATACGGCATAGGAAAGTTGCTTTCTCTGATTTTTGTTTTAGAACCAAAACCCCCAGAATTCCACAGGGGAGGCCAACTGCAGCCAGAAAAAAGCAACTTTTCTAAGCCATGTGGCTTCTTATCCATACAGCTGACCAGCTAAAGCTTCCACCCTATATAGGCCCTTCCTAATCAGGTTGAAAGGAGGACCAAATCTTTCTCTCTAGCAAAGTTTTCCAAAGACTTCCGAGTGGATGCTGATTGGGCCAAACCTTTCCCACGTGGCCAGTATTGAGCTCCCATTACATGGCAGGGAAGGGAGGAGCATTCCTTTTCTCACACCTGTGAGGTGTCAAGATTATACAGTGGTGCCTCGCTTAACGAGTGCCTTGTTTAGCGATTAATTTGCATAACGATGGTTTTTTTTAGAAAATACTGTATCTGGGAGCGATCCTAATAGGGTTTTGAAGGTCAGTGAAGTTTATTTATTTTATTTATTTATTTATTTAATTTATATGCCGCCCACTCTACCCAGAGGTCTCTGGGCGGCTTACAATAATTAAAATTTCAATACAATAAAAATAAAATAATTAAAATACACTCCCTAGTGAATTTCCACAGCCGAGACTAGGATTCGAACCCAGGGCTCCAGCCTATCCCCTGCCACACTGGGTAGCCACACGACACCCCCCCCCGAAGCCTTTTCCTGTTTCTGATTGGCCAACGTTCGGACTAGGCGACCCTCTCATTGGCCAATCGTGCTCTGCGGGAGGCGGGCTCTTAGGCTCTATTGGTTAAGGCTCTTGGGCTTTTAAAGAGGCGGAAGCCGACTTGGCACCTCCTCCTCCTCCTCTTCCTCTTTTAGCCCCGGCTTAAAAACAGTTCCCGGCCACGCCGTCGCGTGATTGGCTGAAGCGCTTCCGCCAAGCGGAAGTCTTTCAACCATTGGCCCGAAGCTGGCGCCAGCGTGGCGGACGATTGACGTTGATTGGCCAAATCTCTTCAGGAAGGCGGGCTCTCGCTCTGTCCGGTGGCCCAAGGCAAGGTTCCTCCCCACGTGGGGAAAAAAGGAGCGATGGCCGTGGCGGAAGGTCAGTCCCAGCCAGCCGGAGCGCTGGCGTTGGAGGTGAGCCAAAGGCAGGCTGGGGGAGCATGTGCAGAATGCTTTTTTTTAAAATCCCTGCAAGCAGCACCAGAAATTGGGCTGGGGGAGTATTATTAGTTAAATCATTGATTTTTTAAAAAATATATCATTTATTTTTATCTATTCTGTTTGGAATCCCTTTTTTCCTTGAGGTTTGAATGATGCTTCGATGCATGGAATCCCTTTTTTCCCTTGAGGTTTGAATGATGCTTCGATGCATCCCAGAGTTTATTCAGCGCCTCGAAGCATCACTCCCTAGCCAGGGTTGTCTTATCTGCTCGCTCAGAATTTTTATTTAGATTTTGTAGGATGGCCCGTTTTCGTTTTTGTTTTGCATTGGTGAAGGATTTGGAACTGAAAGGACCAGGTTGAAAGCAGGAGATCCTAAATAGGGGTGAAGATCATCCTTGAAGCTGACTTGGTTGGTGGGTGACTAAATAATGCCATTCCAAAGTCATAAAATATAAAACTTTCAAGAATTAAGCTGCGTTCGTCTTAGATTGGTATAGATTTTTGTTAAAAGCCTCAAATTTATTGGGGCTTACTTTCAGGGAGGTATGTAGCATTTCACAGCCTGAGGTTGGAACAGCGTCAGGAGAAGGAGAGAGAAATCTGGGTTTGTATTGGAGGTGGAGGGAGGGAGAATCAGAAAGGAGTAGGAGAATTTATAGGAAGGGCAAGTGATGAAGAAAGAAGAAGTGTAGAGGGGGATAGAGAGGGGTAATGGGTAGGGGATGATTGGATAGTAGGGCAGTCCTAGCTGATAGAGGTCTGCAGATTCATGTTGTTGGACAAAATACACATCTGGATATGTCTATAATACCTGTCCAATGGTGGGATATTGTGGGAACTTCAGTGTTAATAACATCGAGAGCGTGATATGTTTCCTACACCTACCTTAAGAGCTTGAGTGATTTAATCCCAAGAAAGGGAGGAGGAATTAAAGAACCTCTTAATGAGGGTGAAAGAGATGGTCTGAAGCTCAACATCCAAAAAACTAAGATCGTGGCCACTGGTCCCATCACCTCCTGGCAAAGTGAAGAGGAAGATATGGAAGCAGTGACAGATTTTACTTTCTTGGGCTCCATGATCACTGCAGACGGTGACAGCAGCCACGAAATTAAAAGATGCCTGCTTCTTGGGAGGAAAGCGATGAGAAACCTAGACAGCATCTTAAAAAGCAGAGACATCACCTTGCCGACAAAAGTCCACTTAGTCAAAGCTATGGTTTTTCCACTAGCGATGTGTGGGAGTTAGAGCTGGACCATAAAGAAGGCTGACCGCCGAAGAATTGATGCTTTTGAATTGTGTTGCTGGAGGAGGCTCTTGAGAGTCCCCTGGGCTGCAAGGAGGACAAACCTATCCGTTTTGAAGGAAATCAACCCTGAGTGCTCCCTGGAAGGACAGATCCTGAAGCTGAGGCTCCAATCCTTTGGCCATCTCATGAGAAGACTCCCTGGAAAAGACCCTAATGTTGGGAAAGTATGGAGGCAGGAGGAGAAGGGGGCGACGGAGGATGAGATGGTTGGACAGTGTCATCCAAGTGACCAACATGAATCTGACCCAACTCTGGGAGGCAGTGAAAGGCAGGAGGGCCTGGCATGCTCTGGTCCATGAGGTCACAAAAAATCAGAGATGACTTAACGACTAAACAACAACAGAAGTCTGACTCTCTTCCCCTGTTTTTCTCCCCCGCTCCAGGAGAGGGTGGAAGCAGACCTGCCGGCTGCATTAAGCCTGTTGAAATCACTCCAAGAGCAGGTGAGAGAGATGCTCGGTGCTCCTATGTTACTGTTGTTGTTTTGTCTCTTTATTGTCATCCTGTCTGCATGATGGCAGCCTCCTTCTCCGTTCCCTATTTAAGCAGGAACGTTCTCGTTTTCTCTTCTTGCCGGCATGCAGGCTGTTGCCGTGACCCAACATGTCCAGGGCTTGGCACAGAAAGTGCGGGCAGGCGTCTACCCCACAGAAAAGGTAAGGGGTTCCTGAAGGAACAACAGAGGTGAGGGACAGGGGGAGAGAAGACAAAGAGGTTTAATTTGAATCAAGTTTTAATCAAGCCTTACAGTGATATCACAAAATAATGAAAAGATATGTGTCCTTCTGGGGATGTACAGAGTGCCCTGACTGGGGGGCTCGGCTTCAGTTTGTCCACAGGCCTCAATTTGAGAAGCATCCTATTCATAGAATCATAGAATAATTGAGTTCTTGAGAAGCATCCTATTCATAGAATAATTGAGTTGGACGGGGCCAATAATAGCGTTGATTTGATTGACGGCCTGCTTTTCTTCTGAAAATAGGACTCATTATGGCTTAGAATTAAGCAGATAAATGCGTCTGGCTGTGCTACCCAGTTCTTGCCCTTTCTTGTCTCTTTCTACCTGTTTTCTGCATCATCCCTTTGCTGGAGAGCTGTGCGAGCTTCCAGATGTGGTTGATCGGCATCTCCCATCATCCTTTGCGTTGCCTGTGCTGGCTGAGGCTGCTGGGAATTGGAGTCCGTCCACTTTGGGATAGCGACGTGGTGCCTTAAGCTGCTTTATAGCTTTGCAAGTTTTCATCTTTTTAGAACTCAGACTCTCCCTTCGCTCCAACTCTGCAACGTGGATCTTAAAACCTGGCTTAACCTGTTGCCTGCTCTTAACCTGGGAAAAAGTGGGAGATGTTGATTTAAATGCCAGAATCCTTCCCTCTTTCTGATATAGTACTCAGTTTTCCACTGAGTTGAACTTTCTGCTGAGTTCGTTCTGCCTCTTAATGAGGAGCTCTCAAACATGCTCTTTTTTCTCTTTCCCTGTCTTCCTGTGTTCTACTTGTGAGTAGGCCTTTATTGCTGGTTCCTGGAGTAGTTGGTTTTCCTTTGGGCCACCCTGCCACGATTGTCTTGTCCTTCTCCTGGGTCATCTGTCAGAAAGAGAGAGCCGCCTCCTTTCTCGATGGCCACTCTGGTTATAGAATCATAAAACTGTAGATTTCGAAGCAATCTAACATGGTCCCAGCGTGAGAAATCCCAGGCTTGAGAATACCCGATAGTCATCCTAATGTTTACTCAGAATCTCCTTTCCTGTAATTTCAGCTGAACATTAAGATGGATTTTCTTATAGCTTTTCCTTCGGCAGCTGATCCGAATCAGCCTCCTTCCCCTCTGATCTCTTGGCTAGATGTGGGTTTAGTTCTTGTTCCCGCCCTGTGGCAGGTCTGAGATTCAGCCACCCCAGAGCCTGGATAAGTTACTTTTTCAGAGTACAGTGCCACAAATCAGCAAGCTATGGGATTCTGGGAATTCTCATCCATAGAAATAACATCAGGTTTACTGTTTCTGGGTATAAATTGCATCTCCTAGTCCAGTGGTTCTAAGCCTTGCATCTCCAGATGTTCTTGGACTGCAACTCCCAGAAACCTTCACCAATAGCTGTGCTGGCCAGGATTTCTGGGAGTTGTAGTCCAAGAACATCTTGGGGACCCAAGGTAGGAACCTCTGCCCTAGTCCATTTTTTTCTGTCTGTCTCTTGGCTTTCACTGCTGGTGTCTCTTCACCCATCTTTATTTTCCTATCCTCAGGGCCTCAGTTTCCTGGAAGTGAAGGACCACCTTCTGCTTCTCTACCTCCAAGACCTCTCGCACCTGATTCTGGAGAAGATCTCCGGCCGCTCCATGGCCAACCACCCTGCATTGCTGCGCTTGGTGGAAACTCGAACGGTATGAGGTTGGGTGGGAGGACTCACCGGCAGGACTTTGACCGTGGGAGGGCAAGGACAGGCAGGGCCACAAAGGCCAGCTCCGTAGGTCCATCTCAGAGCCTGCGGTTTGTGTGTTCAAGGAACAGAAGATCAACCGCTGGCATCTCCAGGGGAAAGATTTTGAGTAACAGAGCCGGACGTAGGATGCTGGGTCTGGGTTTGAGGATGTTACTTCTGTAAGACAAGTCCTAGACTTGCCCAGCAAGCATGGCCGGGTTGGCTAAGACATTCTGAGACCGTGGTCCAAAAGGAGGAGGCGAATCTACAGTAATTGTCTGCCCTCTGCATCTTCACAGGTGTTGGAAAAGATGCGCCCCATCGACCAGAAGCTGAAGTACCAGGTGGACAAATTGGTGAAGGCTGCTGTGACCGGAGCCCTGAGTGAGTCATGCCGCAGAACAGATTCTGGGTGGCGGGCAGCAGGGAGCAGTTTGGAAGGTGCCACCTAACCAGACTTTGTGGGTCGATGCTCTGTTCCTAGGTGAAAACGACCCGCTGAGGTTCAAGCCGAATCCTAACAACCTGATGAGCAAGGTATGTACGTATGCATGCATTTTCGTGCCAGAGCATGGTCCTTGGTGGTTTGTAAGCAGGTAAAACCAGAGAAAAGCAAACGTTTAGATTAGGCATCCTTCAGTCTAGAGAGTGTATGCGTGCATTTTAGTGCCAGAGCATGATTCTTGGTAGTTTGCAAGCAGTTAAAACCAGAGAAAAGCAGTTAGATTAGACATCCTTCAGTCTCGAGATACAATGGGAACGTGCTCTGTATGGAGGACTTGAGTGCTCTGAACTTTACCATGGACTTGGAACGGCGTCTAGTATGGCTAAGAAGGCCAATTCGAGAGTGAGCCCATCCCTTCCACACTGAAAACAAATACAATCTGTCCCCTGTCCAGCTCCCTGATTTTGCTGGTTTCAAGACTGCCTCTTTGCCTTGGCCTGCTGGACAAGGGTCTCTTCAAATTGGGAGAGGCCGTGATGCACCGCCTGCTTCCAGGCTGAACGCTCAGATGTCAGGGTTTCCCATCTGTTGAGGTCCATTCCTAAGGCCTTTGGATCCCGCTTGCAGATATCCTTGTATCACAGCTGTGGTCTCCCTCTGGGGTGATTTCCCTGCACTAATTCTCCATACAGGAGATCTTTTGGAATCCGACTGTCAGCCATTCTCGCGACACACCCAAGCCAACGTAGATGTCGCTGTTTCAGTAATGTATATATGCTAAAAATTCCAGCTCATTCTAGGACTACTCTATTTGGAACTTTGTCCTGCCAGGTGATACCTATAATCCGTCGGAGGCAACGCATATGGAGCGGGTTCAGCTTCCTCTCCTGCCGTGCACAAAGGGTCCAGGACTCACTGCAGGACAGGAGTGTGCTCAGGACACAAGCTCTATAGACCTGGATCTTGGTCTATGCCGTCAGCTTCTTATTGAGCCATACTCTCTTTGTGAGTCTAGAGAACACGGTAGCTGCTTTGCCAATGCATGTATCCATCTCGAGGTCTAGGGAGTGGTTGTCAGAGATCTTTGAGCCATGGTACACAAATTCATGAACAACCTCCGATTCTTGCGAGGAGATGGTAATAGAGGGAGGTGAGTCCACACCCTGGCCCATGACGTGTTTTCTTCTTTCAAGCAAACAGCGAATTACAGCACAAATACCATGTTTCCCCAAAAATAAGACCCAACCTGAAAATAAACCCCAGTATTTTTCAGGATGCTTGTAACATGAGCTCTACTCCCAAAATAAGCCCCAGTGAAGTGAAACCCCACACCTTAGAACGGATTTTGAATGGCACTCAAGTTTTCCTAGTAAAGCAGAGCAGATGCAAGATATTCAACCAAGATGGGAGTGAAAGGCCTCCCTGAGAAAGTAATGTTTGTAATTGCCTTCTGAATGAGTGTAGGGAGGGAACCAGCTCCTCCAGAAGCGGATTCCAGAGCATTGGGGCCACCACCGAGAAGGCCATGCGTCTAGTTGAAAAAAGGCGTGGAGGCAGGCTGGCTCTGGTACTGGAGCAAGAGTACTTAGATCTCACCAAACTGGGGCAGGCGGGGAAGAAGTCTGTGAGACCAGCCTTCCCCAGTAGATGCTGAGGATCATGGGACTTGTAGTCCAAGGCCTTGAGAGAGGCGGGATATAAATCTGAGGAAAGCAGATCTGTTTTGGGTTTAACCACAGTGCCATTTTCAAATCTCAGCCTATGCTCCTTTACCATTGTCATCCCATTAATGTGGAGTTAACGAGGAAAGTTATAAATCCAATTTCCTGATCAATCCCCAAAACCCATTTATTTATTGGCACACTTTCTGGCACGTCCTTAACGAGTTCTAAAAGAAAGTCGGGGAGAATGAAGGAGCCATCTTTTATCGTGAAACCTTCATCTCTCAGTGGGTCAGGTCAGGATGCAGAATAATTCTCTTGGATTTGACGGTTTCAGCCAAAGTAGCCTCACCGCAGTTTTTTGAGGCTTTTCAAGAAGGGAGACACCTAGTCTTGAGGCAGGATAGATAAAAATCAATTGGTTTTTTAAAAAATCAGTTTGATTTAAATCGCAATTTAAATTAGGACTTAATTTTTTTAAAAAAAATTATTTTTATATTTAATGCATCAAAAAAAAAACTGATTTTTAAAAATTCAAATAATGATTTAAATCAATATGATTTAAATCAAATCCACCCTGCCTTGAGAACGGGCCCATTGGTAAGGCTCAAAGAGCATTTTGAAGGACAAATTTGTGTGTGCAAAGCAGCCTGTATATTTGAAAACATGAACATGGCTAAATGTGAAAATGTATGCAGTTGTAAAAAAACAACACTCGTCAGCACGGAAATATACATATATTAAGAACAATGCATTAAAATGCATATATTTGCACAGTAGTAACAAAATGAGGGCAGAAATTGTAAGTGGAATTTCGGGAAATGAATTAAAGCTGACATTGGGTTGTTCATATGCTTAGATTGTGACCGTACACCTATTTTTACCATTGCGTGTCAGCAGTTTCTTTTGTTGAAATCTTCACCTAATGGCAGTAGTTCCCAACCATCTGCCCCCAGATGTTCTAGACTACAACTTCCAGAAATCCTGGCCAGCACAGCTAGTGGTGAAGGCTTCTGGCAGTTGTAGTCCAAGAACATCTGGAGACCCAAGATTGGGAACCATTGCCATACAGTGAAGATTTCAACAGAAGTGCAAACAGCACAAGTTTGCCGTGGAATGTCTGTTGGTGTGATCCTGACTCAAGAAAGCTTGGTTACTGTTGTTTCTTCCCTTCTCCAGCTTAGTGACTCGGAGGAAGAAGATGGAGAAGTTGATGTCGTGAAGAATTCTGGGAAAGGAACATCAAAAGGAGGAAGCAAGAAATACATCCCGCCTCGTCTGGTGCCTGTACATTACAGTACGCAAGATCCTTGATGGCTGAGTGGGAAGGGAAAGCACAGGCTGGCTGTAGAACAGCCAGCTGTCTAAAAAGCATTCCTGCAATCACCTGGATTATTGTTCTCAGTATTGTCTGCCAAATCGTCTTGAGCAGGGACTCCAGAAATACAGTAGGGCCCCCTTATCCGTGGTACCAATATCCGCAGTTTCACTTATCTACAGTCTAAAAATATTAAAAGAAAAAACTAGAAATACAGTGGTGCCCCGCATAGCGATGTTAATCCGTTCCAGGATTAACGTCGCTATCCGGATTCGTCGCTATGCGGGGGGGGGACCCCATAGGAACGCATTCAACTCCGTTTAATGTGTTCCTATTGGGGAAAAACTCACCGCTATGCAGGGAATCATCCATCCGGCCGCCATTTTCACCTCCTGCTAAGCGAGGGCAGGGTGCGAAAACGCTGTGGGCAGCCATTTTGTTGACCCGGTGGCCATTTTGGAACCGATCAGCTGTTCCCAAAACATCGCAATGCGAAGATTGGTAAGTGAAACGCTTACTGATCATCGCGATGCAATGTTTTGCCTATTAAAACATCATAATGCGATCGCATTAGCAAGGCGTCGCTATGCGGATTCGTCGTTAAACGGTGCGCTTGTTAAGCGAGGCACCACTGTACATATTTTTACGATGTATTTACCAGAACAGGTCACTAGAGGGAAGAATATATAGCGTGGTCTTTGACTCTCTGTTGGCCAATTCTGGTAATATATGGTTTTGTTGACCAGGCGGCCATTTTGGAACTTCCGATCAGCTGTTCCCAAAACAAAACAATGCGAAGATCGGTAAGCGAAACGCTTACCGATCATCGCAATGCGATGTTTTGCCTATTAAAACATCACAATGCGATCACATTAGCGATTGCAAAAAACGCGTCGCTATGCGGATTCGTCATTAAACGGTGCGCTCGTTAAGTGAGGCACCACTGTACATATTTTTACGCTGTATTTACCAGAACAGGCCACTAGAGGGAGCCAGAAACCATGCTTTGTATTCTTGTTGAAGACTACATAGCGTGGTCTTTGACTCTCTCTGTTGGCCAATTCTGGTAATATATGGAGAAATATCTGTGTATAGTGTTCACTATTATCTGCTGTTTTCAGCATCTGCAGGGGGGGTTGGAACCAATCCTCTGTGGCTATGGGGGCCTTACTGTATTTCTGGGGTCCTTGCCTAACACGGCCTTTCTGTTGCTTCTCTGTCCCAGACGAAACAGAGACCGAGAGGGACAAGAAGATGCTGGAGCAGGCCAAGAAGCGTGCTCTGAGCAGCTCTATCATCCGTGAGCTGAAAGAGCAGTACTCTGAGGCCCCGGAGGAGGAGCGCGAAGGACGCTACGCACACGCCACCAGACAAAGCCGAGAAGATGAACACAGGTTTGTGTTTCTGTGTATGTATGAGAGCAGAGGTGTGAAGACTGAAAAGTATTTCTGGTAAGCAGAGGGATGCTGGAGGGGATAGGACCCCCGCATCCACTGATTCACTTATCCACTAGCTAAAAATAATTTTTTAAACCCCCAGAAATATCTATTTATATGTATTTCCAGCATCTGTGTGCCAGGACTAGCCAGTGTAGGGAGCCTGAAACCATGTAATATATAGCGTTCCACACTTCCACCTTTTCAGCATCTGCAAAAGTTCTTGGAACCACTACTCCCGCAGTCATACTGTATATGGAGCAGAAAATTCTGGGAGATTAATGTGGGAAGCTGGGGGTTTTCGAGCTGGTTTCGAGACTCTGAACTAGAAAATGGCTGAATGCGGGAATCGGGGGATGCGCAGCACGGCAGATGGTTATGTGCCCCATCCCCTAATGTAACTAAGCAGTTACATTGCAGATAAACGTAACTGCTTTACATTTTATTGTGTTTTGATATCACAATTTGCTGGGGTTTTTACCTGAACCTTTTACACATTCATGTGAGCTGCCCCGAGTACCCCGTTTACGATCTAGCTCGGAGGAGAGACACGTGTCGTTCGCATGTCAACAAGCTGCTTCCGCCCCCACCCTGAGTGATTTCCTTCTCTAGGACCAACTATGAGGAGAGCATGATGGTCCGTCTCAACCTGACCCGGAAGGAAAAAGCGCGCCGGAGGAGAGAGGGCGTCCTGAGTTCCCAGCTGAATTCGCTCACCCACTTTGGGGACATCAGTGCGTTGACGGGAGCTCCAGCCGTGTTGGGAGAGGTGAGTCTTATGCAGAGGCAGTTAATTTGGTCCATAGCCGAGATGAGTTGCTAGCACGAAAGTGGGTGGGGTGATGGGATTTCCTGTAGGTCTAACCACAGAGGGTTAAACAGTAATCTGGAGGTGGGATGTAAGCAGGTAGTTTTCACAGCAAAGGAAAGTTGGTCATATTGAGTCCAGAACTGTTTACTCATCATTTTTTTTAAAACACCAAATCTGAGCCAGACTCCTGTTCTCAGTTCCAGCTGCTGACAAAACTCAAATTGGATAGGACAGCACTTTTCAGATACTTGAAAGGTAGTCCTATAGAGGAGAGGCAGGATCTGTTCTCCATAATCCCAGAATACGGGACACTTCATCATGGGCTCAAACTGCAGGAAGCCAGGTATATCATGCTGTAGATCAGGAAAAACTTCTTAACTGTTAGAGCAGTACGGCAATGGAACCAGTGGCTTTAAGGGGAGGTGGTGAGCACTCCCAACACTGGAGGCATTCCAGAGAAAATTGGAGAACCGTCCGTCGGATCTGCTTTGGATATGCAAGGTGATTGCAACAATCAATTTAAAGGCCCGCCACTCGTTTAGAAAGCTAGCCAACAGCCTTCAGACAATCTGTAGAACGCATGTCCTGTGTAGGCCAGACGCTGTGTAGTTTTGTTGAGGAGCTCTGTGTTAGTCGACCAAGGAGCCAGCTGTTCCTGATCTGTGAAGGAATGCATAAAATATCTGAGCGTCTATGTTCTTCTGATGCAAGGCGTTCCTAAGGAGAGGTAGTGTCCCCATAACCAAGGATCCTGTGGCCCAGGCAGCTGCCCCATGGAATCATATGCTTGTGCTAGGCCATCGTCCCACATGGCCTTATAAGTGCTGGATAGCTCAGTGATTTAGGCATCTGACTGCATAGCCAGAGGTTGGGAGTTTGATTCCCCCCCATGGTGCCTCCCTGATGGGGTCAGACTGGATGATCCTTAAGAGTCCCTTCCAGCCCTGCAGCTCTAAAATGATTGTACTTGTTGCAGAATCCCTCAACCGTTGCAAAGCTTCTGGGTCACAGTCCGGAATCTATATATATATAAAAATCACACAGAGCGCCAGACCGGTGTCGGCTTTGCCCGATAAACTCAATGTTACTGCCGTTGTGTGGAGACATCAGGAGGGAGAACAAGCCGGCTTTTGGGAAAGGGGGCTTCTGTTTGTAGTGTTTTCGCCCAGTTCACTCTGATGTCCCTGAATATCAGTCTCCTACTGGATCCAAGAGGCTCCCATTTTGATTTTGTGATGTTCCACCGTATGAAAACATCTTGTTCCGCTGGACTGTAGATTTATTTATTTTGTATCGCACCAATGTGGTCGTACGACCACTCTAGGTGGCTTCCAAGCACATAACTGGGCTGTAGATTTATTTATTTATTTTGTATCGCGCCTATGTGGTCTTACGACCACTCTAGGCGGCTTCCAAGCACATACATAAAATGACATATAAAAATTATTAGCACTAGGAAATCATTACATCAGATAAAAGATTCTTCAAGAAGGGAAAAAGAAGAGAGAAGAAAAAAAAGAAATAAAAATCAAATATTAGCTGGAGGGAAGGCCTGCGTGAACATCCATGTTTTTAATTGGTTTTTAAAGATACCCAGCGAAGGGGCCGCACGAATCACCGGAGGGAGATTGTTCCAGAGGTGAGGAGCCACCACCGAGAAGGCCTGGTTTCTTGTTTTCTCCTTCCGGGCCTCCCTCGGCGTCAAGCTCCTCAGCCTCACCTCCTGACTCACTCGGGTGAGATCTGTCGATTGTTATTTCCCGTTTCCAAAGGAAGGCCAGTTTAGCCTGGCTTTCTTCCCAGTCCGTTGAGATCCTTTTCGAAAGGTCTTGGGTTAAAAAAATAATAATAATAATAATAGTAAGTGAAAGGTCTTGGGTTAAAAAAAAAATAATAATAATAGTAAGTTAAGAAAATGCTTAATTTAGTTCTGTGTCCTACCTTGAATTCTTGACACGCCTCTCTTACGCTCTTCCCACATTCAGGACGCAAATCCCCAAAATAAGAAGAGAAAGAAGATTGGCCCAAAGCGAGGAAAGAAGAAAAAAGGTAAGAACTGTTTGTTTGTTTTTAAAGTGTCTATATTCTTGACAAGTCTTAACACCTTGGCTCATCCTAGGCCCTACAAAATGCCAGTGGAATACTAAAAATGGTTCTGAGACATGCTGCAAAGGTTTATATAGGAAAAAACATTGTGATTTCTTCTTGTGCTTCAAAATCTCATAGTTGAGTACTTAGAAGGGGCGGGGGACTCCCTAGGCATTCAAAACAAATATGGGTGGGTAACATCTCGGGTAGAATTGTTCTTCCTGAGCCTATTTTGAGTCACCTCCTATCCTTCTAATGTGAGCAGGGCTTCACTGTAATGACCCTGTCCACCCATTTGAAAGAAATGTTCACAGGATCCCCTCCTATTGCACCTGACAGCACTTCTCTACCCTTGGTTAGTGACACTTCCTCCAAGAGGTCTAGCAGCTTGAGAAAAAAATCAATAATGTACTTCTTCTAATCCTATCCTGTCTTCCTCATTCATTCATTCTCTTTTTCTCTCCTTCCTCCCTCTCTTCCCCCATCTTTCTAGGTTTCCACAAGAGGTGATAAACTCCCTTTCACTCGTTGGGGACTGATCTATACCTCGGATTTATTTTGTTTTTTAACATGCCCTGTATGAGGGGAAGGGAGAAAGAGTGTTGTGGACAATAAAATGTGGTTTGCCTGTTTTCCTGTCAAGAGTGTATCAAGTTTCTTTTTCTTGCTTCCTGGTCAGTTTTGAAGGGGGGGGACCTCTGATGCTTTTTAAAAATCCCCTTGGATGGCAGTAAAGGGCACAGCCGTAACCAGGGTGGGGTGAGAGGGGTTTTCACAGGTATAAAAAAATTGCGGTTCGGAGAAGTACAAACACACTGTTGATATTTGCTGCTTGGAAGGGTGCAAATCCAGCCTTCCTAAGAAGCTCAAAACAGACCGGTGCACGGTGAAAACCCTACGGCGTCATCCATTTAAACCCAGTCTGTCTTCCCAGTTTCTGCCGCCTTCTCCCTGATTCTGCCTGTCCCACAGTGGACACCAAAATTACTAGCTCCAGTTCTGATCAAGAGAAGAAGCAGAGATCCTGTCTTCTTGGAAGTCAACCTAATCATGTATTTTATTTATTTATTTATTTATTTTATTTTATTCGATTTTTACCCCGCCCCTCTAGACAACGTCTACTCAGGGCGGCTTACATCAGTTAAAACAAGTTAAAAAACATATAAAATGCATTTATACTAATTAGTTCTAAACAAAAGGTTTCCAAGATGGTGGTATACAAAAGAAAGAAAGAAAAAAGATAGAGAAAAAGAAAATGAAAATCACTTAATTGACTGGGGGGTAGGCCTGTTTAAACAAGCAAGTTTTTAATTGGCTTTTAATTGGCTGTGGATATCTCGGTCAGGTATCTGAACCTGGGAGTTCAGTTCTCCAGGGTACCTCCTGGGAGTACAGCCAGCCTGTGTTGCCCTGGGCAAGCTGCCCGGTCCCAGGGCGCTCCCAGAAGAAGTGGGAAACACTCCTGAATAGTCTTCACCCAAATGACCTTGAAAATGGTCACTGAAAGTCAGTTTAGACTTGAGGGCACATTATTATTATTATTATTATTATTATTATTATTATTATTATTATTATTATTATTAAACTGACTGGAAAGGTCAGGGGTTTATGTTGGGAGTCCAATTCCCCCCCACGGCGTCCCCTGGGAGAAAGACCCAGCCCATGTAACCTTGGGCAAGCTGCACCGTCGTCCCAGGGCGCCCCTAGAGGAAGGGAAAGATAAAGCACTTCTAAATCTTCTCTGCTGGGAAAACCCTGAAAAAGGGTTGCCGGTTAAGTCAGAGTTGCAGCCCATGATGATGATTAAGGTTCTTCAAGTACCAGGTTGATAAGATGGGGTTCAATCTCTCCCTTCGTATATATTTCCAGCGTCCTCCTTCATGACTCTTAATCCCCTTTGGGCTTTCTCCGAAAGAGGCTTTTAAAGTTTGCATTCACTTCTTTTTCTTTCTTTCTCTTTTTTTTTTTCCCGAGCAAGGGAACCTCTTTCAATATGGGAATCCCCACGCTTCTCTCTCTTGCGCTCCCTCCCCCCCCCCCCCCCTCTCTCAGCCTCCCTTCACCTTGTCTGTTTGAGAGCTACTGGCAGAATCAATGCCATCGACCTGGTTTTCGGGGGGCCGGGAGCAGAGAAGGGAATCCTCGGCTGCGTTCAACCCTGATCGGGCTAAGTGGAATCCGATAAACATGAGGAGGAAATCAATTGCCCGACACGCTTGAGAAGTGGGGAGGAGGGGGGAGAGAGGAAGAAGGGAGGGCCGGTCTTGCCATTGAACCGGAGGGGGATTCCACCGAATTAAGAGAGCAGCTGTGGTTTCCAGAGGTGTGGGGGAGCACAGAGGGACAGGTCTATCCCCTGCCCTGTATTGCTTTGGGCGAAATGGCCCCTTCCTCTTAAGTTTACAGCCCAGCTCACCATATCTGGAATATCCCCCCCCCCCACATATATATATACACACACACATCTTCACCAGCCCCCTCGGGGGACTATGGTTCCCTGAGTCAGCAGTCCCTGCTCCGACCTTTAACAGAGTGCAAAGGAGAAATAGATTAATTCATTAGCACGTTTAGATTGAGGGGGATGAAGGTTCAGAGACAAACGGCGGGCGGGGGGGAGGAAAAGGTAGCGTATGTTGGGGAGGTGGCAGGAATGGTGGGTTTTTTTGCACCGAAAGCAGCTTCAGGAATGAACACGAAGGCATCGGAGGGGGGGGGAGCGGTTTGGCAGCCAGCTTGAGACCTCAAAGGAACGGGGTTTAAATCTTGGCCGCTCATGGGTAGAATGGGGGGGGTTGGACGGACTGGATCGGGGTGACCCCTGGATGGGGCGGGCAGGGTAGGGTGGGTTGGAGGCCGGCAGAGAAGAGCAGGCCTTTGGGAGACATGGGTCAGAGAGGACCCCCTTGCAGGATGGATCTTTCAATTGGGGGGGGGGGAGACAAGAATCAGAGACTTGCCAGTTCCTTGCCCGTCGCATGAGATGAAGCCAGGGGTTCCCATCCGATGAACTTGGTAGTGCTTTTTCTGCAACATGCACACATGAGTAGACCTATGTCTAGAAGGATGGGATAAAAATCAAATCAATCAATAAATTAAATGGTCACCCTTCTTTGGAGTGGCTGCTTTTCCTTCCCCAGGGTATCCATCCTCTGTCCTTCCTCTCTCTCCCCCCCCACTCCAAATTTCTGCCTTATGTTGGGCTTTGCCTCCAGGTGGCGCTGTGGCAGGGCCCCCCCCCCCCGGCCCACCTCCCCTGCCAGCTCATTCTCATTCCTTCCACGCAGCCGCCCGCTCCCGTCCTCAAATTAATTTGGTGCCGCGTATTCTTGCGGTGTCTTTTTTTTATTCCCGCCTCCCCCTCCCCGCCTTCTTCTTGCGATGCCTTTCTGCCTGCCTGCTTCTTTCTTTCCCTTTTTCCCCGTGCAAACATCTCCCTTCCCTAGATTTCGTCCCCCTATTGAAGGTTTTGCCCCCCCTGGATTCTCTGGGCTTCGGGGTCTGTGCTTAAAAATCCTCCCCCCCCCAAAGGGAAGATGCCTTTACAAAACAGGGAGCATTGGCGGGGTGGGGTGGGGAGAGGAGAGGGTGGATGTCAAAGCGGTTGGGGGGAGGATAGTCAAAAGCCAACGTGACAAAGCCATTTTATAATTTATCAACAGGGCCGCTGTGAGGCGATGCGTGGTACATTAAATACATAAGGAGTTTCTGTTTAAAACACAACGGTCTTTACATCCTCCCAGCCCCCCAAAAAATAAATCAGTTTTCACCCCCTTCGAATGCTCCCCATTGTTCTTCAGGAATTTAACCTGATTTTTTGCACAGATGTGTTTTTATTTCTTTAAAGAGAACGATACTGCACATTTCACTTGGTAGCAATTCCTTTTCAACTCGACGCGGCAGGCTTTTGGAAGGGAGGTGTCGGATGGCGCTATAAGATCATCATCCGATAACTGCAGAGCTGGAAGGGACCCTACAAATCATCAAGTCCAGCCCCGTCAAGGAGGCACCGGAGGGGAATTGAACTCTCACCTCTGGCAACACTACTGGGTACCTAAACCATTGAGCTACGCTGTTCTTTAAAATCCTGCCCTGCTGGCAGAGTTATCTGCCCTTCCCTCTCTTTTCATCTCTCACAATGACCCTGTAAGGTAGTTCTAAGACAGACAGACAGACACACACACACACGTGTGTGTGTGCATAGTGCAACTTAACAAAGTGGGTTTTTGAAACAGGATTTCCCAAAAATTAGTGTGGCTCTTAAGTTAGGGGCCGAAAACTTATGGCTCTCCAGAACCGGTGATGGCAACGATGGCCTTCAAGGAGATGTTTTCTTCCTAACGAGCATGCCACTCCGTGGTGAGCAATAATGGAGGCCTACAATATCTAAAAGACCACCGTGGCCCGTCCTTGTGGTAAGACGACGTTAAGACTCCAGCTCCTATCATCCTTGATCCTTAGCTAATGGTCATTTTGGGAATCGTGACATAGGGCAGACCACAGACCAAGCCAGCTCTAGATTCACTAGCAGAAATGTCTTCCTTTTTTAAGGAGAAATGTGAGGTGGAAAGATTTTAAATACATTTATATGTGAGGCTGTAGTTACAGGCCAAATGTGAATTTTGCAGCTTCACATCAGAGAAAGTGGTTTGCAACAGAACAGATTTCTCTTAGGCCTGTGTAAACGTGGATTTAGTGTCCTGAGGCGCTTGGCTTGTCCTGTTGACCTTTCTCAGGAATGGCCTTATATTAGACGTAGCTGGAAGAGGCTTCAAGTCAAGGACTGTCCTCCTTAGAAGAGGGTACAAAGACCTATCTCTCTTCCGGGGTGGGATGGGAGTGGGGGGGTAGCCAGAAAACTTGTGTGGGATGGATAAAGTGAACTGGCAAACATCGCTGCTTTCAGCAACGTATGTCAACAGACTAAAGAGAGGGGAAAGAGACACAGAGGAGAGAGGCGGGTCTCTCTTTGATTCAGAGGTGCGGAAGGAATGATTGGTTAGTGCTGGACAGATGGATAGTCAGCCCAGCCCAGAAAGGGCCCTCCCAGCCAAACCCACTAAAGGCAGCATGCAAGGTTGCAAAGACTCCTGACATAAATAGTGTTGGAAATTGCTTTGCAGCCGTCCTCAGAGAGTGCAGCTTGTGGAGAATATATCAGCCCCGTGGTCCCTCAGTTGTGGGGTTCCGCAGGGTTCGATCATCTCCCCAATGCTGTTTTATTATCTATATGAGGCTGTGGGGTGGTCATCTGGGGATGTGGAGCTTCGTGTCACCAATATGCTGATGACACCCAGCTCGACATCTTTTTTTCATCTGCGGTGGATGTCGTTCTGTTTCTTGGGCGCTGCCTGGAGGCCGTTCTGCAAAGATTCTGTTTCTTGGGTGCTGCCTGGAAGCCGTTCTGCAAAGGATGCAGTCGAATGGACTAAAGTTGAACCCAGACAAGACGGAGGTCCTGTGGGCCCCCCCAACGTCAGTGGTTTGGGGAACTCTCTTTTGGGGGGGATGACTCTCACCACAAAGAATTCAGTTCACAATCTAGGGGTCCATCTTGACCCGGTGCTCACCATGGAGACCCAGGTAGTGTCTGTGATTCTGTCTGCCCACTTACATCTTTAGCGGATCGCCCAGTGGCGTCCCTA